AATAATAATAATAATAATAATAATAATAATAATAATAATAATAATAATAATAATAATAATAATAATAATAATAATAATAATAATAATAATAATAATAATAATAATAATAATAATAAATAATGCTAAACGATGGCAATAATAATTGCAATAAAGTTGCTAGTAATTAATTTTTAAAAAAAAATATTTCTGACAATAACGTCATCGTTGAAATCGTTAAAACTTTTAAATGGTTTTCACTATAATCTTGTAATGATATTTAATTTGATGAAATGTAATGGTCGGATACGAATGGATAGTAAAAAAAACAAAAAAAAGGAAATGAATAGCAAAAAAAGTGGAACTCAACAAAAATTGAAATTTCTAAAATTTTATAATTAATCCAACAAATAATTGTCTGGAAGCCTTCGTTTTGCTAACATATTGATGCTAAAGTTGTAATTTTAGAAGCCCAAACTTTTGGGATTACTGAAGAGATCTTTTGTAAAGTGATATCTTTTTTGATTAAATTCGCGTCTATGATCAAATTCCATCATTATGCACATAAAATGATTTTATTTTAAATTTTTAAATGTGGTCGAAATTTATCAAAAATTTTTTTGATTACTAAAATAGCATACCTATTAAAAATTGTTGATTTAAATTTACTGCATCCTTCTACAGTAATTTTATCATCGTCCCTTTTCTCTTTGCAATTACTCTTCGGCAATTGTTCACAATTTGGAATTGTTCGTCTTTCAACTTGACTGTACAATTTTCTTCTATCGTTCATTTCATCGATCAAAAACTTCAAAATTAAATTTAAATCTCAAAAATTTTACTTTAATATGTGCAGGAAAAAAAAGATGATTATATAAAATAGTTGAAATTTCACATTCTGCTATCAATATTTTCAAAATTTCAATAATCTTATTTAATTCATATTTATCCTTCAAAATTTACGACAAGCATAAATGAAAGGCATATGACAGCAAATTACTTTATAAAATAAATTAGAAAATTTTGTAAAAAGATAAAATTTTAATTCAAACGAATTAATCCGATAAAATACGAAAAAATTAAAAATTAAAACAAACAAATCATTCTCAAGAGAGAGAGAGAGAAAGAAAAAAAAGGGAAAAAAGAAACGAATTGTAGATTATATGATTGAAAAGGATTATTTTTTAATATTAATTGGAAATAACTGACAGGATTGATACGATGTGACAATGCCATGTCATACTGCTATGCTTAATAAATGCTAGATGGTCATACGATGCCATATGATCACTTCAATTAAAATTTTGCTATATATCGTTTTTTGTTTTTTTTTTAAATTCAATAAATTTAGATGGTACCATAATCTCTCATTATATAGTGACCAATTCAAACATTTCAAGTTATATTATATACAGTAATACAAAAGGTAATATTTGAAAAGTGGATAATTGTCTGAAATGAATAAAACCTACAATTTGCAATATATTTCATAAATTTTTAACGAAAAAAAATTGATAAGTATTGAAGAATTTTTAACATTCGTCAATAATACGAAAGTTATCTTTTACAAATGCAAAACAAACTTTTCGAAAATTTAATTGACGCTAAAATCTTTTGTTGTTTCAGAATAATTTGGAAAAAACATCGTCATAAAATCGTGAAAAATGATACTTAACAAGACGATTAAATGCTTTCGAATATACTATTAACAATATTAATAGATACAATTATTTTTCATAGTTAAATGAATTGATTAATGATAAACTAAAAAGTTAATCAAATCGAAACTTACTACTCCCATGATAACACCAATGATATATGTTATCACATTTCAAAAACATGTGTTATTTGCTAAATGTCCATTTCATACATTTAAATCTTCCATACAATTTTAATTTGCCGAATTTTTTTTTACAAATATTGCAAAAAAATTTAAATGAAACAATATATATATATATATATATATATATATATATATATATATA